GGGGGGGGGGGGGGCTGCCTTCGGCAAACCCATGTCGGGGCTTACACATGGTAAAGGGGCTAGCTACGCGCCTGTCCTGTGTTTAATTCCACTGCGTGTCAAATTTCTGTGCTCATCCCCTCCTCGAAGACCAAAATATATGCCAACACTCCAGAATATGATATTCACAAGAGTTTAGGGATTTTCTGATCCCAAGAACCCCTTTTCCCAAAGAACATTTTCTTCTCAATTGTAATGACCTCGGCTTGTTTTTTGTTTATACCAACCCCCTTTTTAGTGACCGGTTGCATTGCATTGTCTAGGCAGTTTTTAACGTCTTTGAATTTGGGATATTGAAGCATAGAAATTTGTCGCCCAAGTGTTTCAAAATGGCGCTGAATTGCTGTTATTATGGAGAATAGGCTACCACTAGTATACTCACGCCCATCTTCCCGCTTTAAGGAGGGAACAAAGAATGGTAGTGCAAAATTAAGTTCTTCATCAGAAAAGTCCTCACGATTCTCTTTGTCCTGCAGTAATTCCACCATTTCTTCATTTAAATTCTGTTTGACAACGTGTTCCCGCCATTTCCGGTATAGGTTAATTGCCCATTGATTTTTCCGTGATGTGTTCTATGGAACAAACGGGAACCGCTTGGCCATCTTGTCTACCAATTCAGCATTAACTTCTGCAAATCGAGATTGGGCTGCAATCAAATAAATAACATATTATAATGTGGTCTATGGTATCACAAAAACTGCGAAATTGAATAGTTCTATATACCGTGTATTATGTTCGATATTTACTATTTCTATTCCGAAAGTTATATCTAAGTTAAATATTTTATACTTGTATATGTATTGAAATATTTAAAATACAATGGTACATGTGTAAATGTTCAATAAATTGTAACGATATGTTGAAAAATGTTGTAAATATATGTTCAATAATATTGTAAATGTATGTACAATGCTATTCTCAATGTATGTTCAATTATATTGTAAATTCATGTTCAATACTATTGCAAATATATGTTCAATAATATGGTAAATGTATTTGAATTTATTCTATTATGTTTTTTGTTTGTTTTGTTATGAAATCAAATTAATGTCACAACGTGTTACCTGTGATGCCCCCTTCTTTGGGTTAACTTTCTCGGGCTCCAAGTCTTTATCTGTAAAAATGTGAGAAAGTATAATTAGTTTTAAGATATGCATCAATTTCATATATTAGGACACGTACGATACAGGTGGACAAAATGTTCAGATTTGATTTTTTTTCCTTTTTTAATTTTTAAAAAATTATTTCAGTTACTAATCATTCTTACCATGAAGGACAGGAAAACGGCGGGAAGCAGCAACTTCTGTCGGTCCACCCTCCTCAAGCATGTCAGCCACGTCAATAGCACATTGAATAGCATTAAAATCTTTGGTTGTAGCGTTTATAAACGTATTCTGAGTTAGAAAAATCTCCCTCCGTCATCATCAGAACTTCCCCCCGAAACAGCATGAAACTGTTCAGCGAGGTCAAGCGCCTGACTTAAAATTGTATCAGAGTCACAGTCCGACATGTTGGCGACAACAACAAAATGTGAAACATGATTATACCACGTGGTTTGTTGTATACCACCTCTAAACGAGCGCAAGAATGTTGAATATATTTTATCAAATATTTGATAAAAAAATAAATGGGGGAACGGGGCTCGTACACTGGACGTTTCGGTGATGAGCCGAAAATCCTACCTCGGGACTGTGACGGATCCATGACTAAATGCGTTCGCTTAACTGGATAATACTTTCGGTGTGTAACTGACAATTATTTATGAAATATGTCTATACTACAGTATATTACCACGCTTTTATTCATTCTATTTGTTCACTCTATTTATTATACAGTACATGCATACAATGTATCAATATTTCATTTAGATGTATCTCTATTTGCATTACACTTGAAATACAGATACAGTATAACCTGCCTACACCGGTTCCCTGTCTATACCGGCTTTGACATTTGGTCCCGGCATTTCCTCTCTTAAATTATAGAACGTCCACAACGTCTTATCCGGACCCGTTTTCTTTGAAAACCGACGTCATTGTTACACCCTGTTCATTTCGGCCTTCCTATTTTCCTCGGTCATACATGTTTTCCCCGCGTAAAATATGCGATCTGTTGCATTTTATTGTACATTATTATAAATATTTATACATTACAGTTGAAGTAGTTCTTTATTTCCTGTTCTTAATCCAGTGCTACATTTCAAGTCTATTCACTTACATACATGTATTTTCAAAATGTTGATACCCCCAAAAAGGACTCTGTGTAAGCCGGACCCTGTTTTAACCGGTCATATACTTTAGTCCCAGTCATATTCGATTTAGACAGGTTATACTGTATCTCTAATTCAAACAGATACATTTAAATTGACTTGATTTTTATTAATTTTATTTTTATAATTTATACGGTTGTTCATAGTGATCGAGCCGTAATATAAGTCGGTTACCAACTTCGTAGTCGGTGTTCCCGCGTAGGAACGACCTGCACCCGTGCAGGTAACACCACGCGCTCCGCGCTCGGTGTCACGTTCCGCACGGGCACAGATCGTTCCTACGCGAGAACACCTTTTACTCGGTCGGTAACGATTACGTAAACCGCAATCGTTATTGAAGTGGTGCAGAATTGGAAGCGGAAGTGCGATTTTAGTTTGTGTGTTTTTTTTGTTTTAATACCGAAATCATACCTGTATTATATATATATCTACTTTTTGAATGAAATATTCATACTATTACCATAATAATAAAAATGAAGAGACTTGGAAATTGTTCAACTCAGTCCCAAGGGAGATTACTGATGATACAAAACTTATAAATTTTCAGTATAAAATTGTGCACAGAACTGTTTATACCAGCTCAAAATTAATTGAAACTGAGAGATGGACTTTTTGTACAAATGAAAAAGACATCATTACACATCTATTTTGGGAATGTAGTACAGTCAAAACATTTTGGTTGTTGCTGATAGATATGTTAGAAAATAAGTACCAAATTACCGTATCTAGACACCCAACAGTCTTCATTTGTGGTGTAACAGAAAAAACACAGAGATGAAATCAACTTTGTATTACTTATTTTGAGATACTATATATATTTGTGTAAATTAAAAAATACAATTACAACTATTGCTGAAAGCAAAATATATATTAATTATTATAACAATATAGAAGACATGGGTCTCCATACATGTAACTATCACTACAACAAACAAAGAAAGATAAAAAATTGTGGAATTTTATCAATAAATTATTCAATTAAGTCTTGTGATTAGAAAAGTCCAGATTAGAAACAAACCCTCGATCTTCTAATATATTCATCAATTATATTGCATTGTACTAGTTTCATGTAATATTTAGATTATTTAACATTTTTGATGTTCATGTTTACCATGTTATGCAAATCAATTATGTGTAGAAATGTGATTATGGAAAAAAAGCTGAATAAAAAACCCACAAGATTTGACTTTGACAATTACTTTATACTTTGACATAAAACCGCTATAGCATACCTGCGTGTGGCACAAGGCCGTGGCTACAACCTATACGTACGACGCCTTTTTCAATCAAATGCGATATACTGTAATTTAAATACAGCCATTTGAATAAATTTATCGAACCTTAGTCAAATGAGCACAACGTAACAACGCCTTTTACAAAAAAAATCAAATTACATGACCTTCATTATTACGTTTGTATATAAAAAATAAAATAATCATATATAATTTCTTATCTAACAAATCATAAATTATCCTTACTTAGATTATATCCAAATAGAACTATCACTCTAATAAAACACATCATACATATACATTGGGTATTACACAAAGACAAAGAAACACTAACATTACAACTCTACGTCCGTCACCTTTGAGTCCAACTAACAAAGAAACACACGCCAAAACTGACCACTCAGAACGAACCAATGGAAAGGCGTACACAACTTGACGTAACACTGACCAATGAACAAATGTATGGTATACCAACGTATCAACATACGAAACGAGCAAAACACCACAATACACATGTAGACATAACATCACAGCATAG